ATACGAAAACATTGGTGAATGCCACAATTTCTCCTAAATCACTCGTACGCACAATTTAAGAACAAATCTGTGCGTACGAACGGTTCTTGCATGAGGCCCAATGTTTGCTTATTGGGTAAAGATCCTCCCAATGTCTGGCTTTCAGCAACTGTGTCCCACTGAGCAATTCAGTTGAAAAGYCCTTCATAAGAGTTGCACAAAACACTTTTTGATTAGTACTAAAACACATCTGCATATCTCGTTCAGTTTCAGCCAGTTTTGCATTCAAGGGAAAAGTGTCACAGATCTGCACGTTGTCTGACAGTCGGTTTTACCGTCTCAGTTTTTAATGCCGGAAGGGTTCAGGTCCGAGTCTCCCGTCTCTTGGCTTTGTGCGGTGCAGCTTTTGTACAGTGAGGTTGTATTTTTGYACACAGCACGGTTTATTTTTCTGCTTCCCAGCCTCACGAAGGAACTCACACCATGTTGCGCTTGCTTTACAAAACAAGTCATGTCTGTCAGAACTGACCGAGAAAAGTGGAAGAAAAAGAAAACTATTTAAAGAAAAGAGTTTTTTTGTTTGGGGCGGTTGAAATGTTCTTCATTGTTGATGTTCATGAAGTGATTCGATGTCCAAAAACCTTGTTGTCCATAAAGTGAAAGTGAAATTTGTATTTCTCTTACTTTTTACGTAAAGTCATTTTCCATTTTCTTTTCTAAAATGACAAGAAGATGAAGTCGTTGTGGGAAAATGTTTCAAGTTGACATGTAAACTATAATTAAATACTTGGACAGATTGACTTTGAATTTGTAAAAACACTTTTTTTATTTCGCACAGTGTTGCTCTTTGAGCATGAACTGTTTCACAATTAGTTGTTACACCTTTGGTGCCAGTTTTTAGTCGTGCAGATATAGTATAAAACTGTTTTATGCTTCAGATTTACAGAGATTAAAACAAACAGTATTGCAAAAACTATTTTACCACTTAAAACTCACAAAATAAAGTTCAAACCAGATTTCATTTAGCCACCGCTGCCTTGGATTTGTGACGTCTGTAATACGCAACAGAAAGACTGATACAAACCTGATGAGCTGTAAGAGTTTATATTTGAAAATAAAATTATCCACAATCTATCCATAAAAACGTACAGACCAACAGAGCAGGTGTTCAATTAAACAKTGGGTTAATAATGTGTTTTAAAATATGCAAAATAAAATTAGTGTGGAACTGTTTTGCATGTAACACAGATTATTCCCCTCTTTGTTCAGTTGTTTGCAGAGATTATAAATGTGTAATCTGAGGAGCGTTTGTTTACAGGCAGGGCATTTCTCAGAGTCAGATGGGCGGGCAGCAGCACTTGACCTGCGTTTCTTCCTCCTCACGGGTGATCGGGACGAGCGACACGCTGCTTCACTTCACATCAACTTCACCTGCCAGGTACTGGAGCCCTGCCTGCGTCCAAGATGGCACCAGCCTGACCGCTGCTGGGCCCTGAATGGGACCATGTGGGTTACTTATCCACTGTTAGGCAAATGCTTAATGCTAAGATTTKACCACAATTTAAAATTACCTTTTTTAAAAGTTATGAAGCAAAAAACAAGACTTGGTTTTACCAAAGAGATATAACCTACATAAACCCATTTCAGGATTACAAACMCAAGTTTCATCTTCACAGACAAACCAGTGGAGCCGTGTTTATGTGAGCTTTTGGGTAAGCTTTGTGAACCATGACATCACAAAAGGTTGTGTTTGGCTGTCCGCTTATAAATGTAGCAGAGTTTAAGGATTGTCTCACTCTAAAACTTAAGTTTAAGAAAAATACATTTTTAGTTCCCACTGTTTCCATGTGGATGCAAGGTTGAACCAGAAAAAAAAATCACACTTTGTACATCCTTAAAATGCTGTTGCCAGGTGAACGGGGTTTTAATTAAACTCAACGTACCACTTTAGTTTAAACCGTTTTATGTCAAATGCATCACAAATGTCTTTTGGTAAGAAAATTACTTTAAAAAGGAAGGTATTGTATTTTCCAGGCACATAGTTCAATTCTCCACCACAATGTTACCTTCAGTTGTATACATCAAAAATGAATTTGACTTTGCATTTAAACGCCTTGAAGTTGGCCTCAGTCTCTTTAAGAACCTCCTACCGTTTCTGACACTCCCACTTCAGCACGTCTTCACAACCATGCTTCATGCCGTTTACAACCTTTTGTAGAAACATTGTATTTTAGTGTAAAAATAAAAAAGCAACATTATAT